CTTGAACACCTCCAGTGTTGGAAGCACTCATCACCTCTTGAGGCAACTGGTCCCATTGTTGTACAGCTCTAGCAGTTAAGATGTTTTTCCTGATAGTCTAAATCTGGCTTCCTGTAGCTTGAGCTCACTGTTTAGTGTCCTGCACTCTGGGATGGTTGAGAACAGATCCTTCCCCTCCTCTGTATGACTACCTTTCAAGAATTTGAAAAGTGCCATTGCCTCTCCCTTCAGTCTTTTCTCAAGGCTAAACATGTTCAGTCCTTTCAGTCTTTCCTCACAGGGCTTGGTTCCCAGTCCCATGATCATCTTTGATGCTCTCCTCTGAACTTGCTCCAGTTTTCTGGCATCCTTCTTAAAGTGAGGTGTCTAGAACTGGACACAGTACTCAAGATGCCTAACCGGTGCTGAATAGAGTTGGTTCATATTCAGCCTTTGATTTGTAATTCCAAGATCCTTTTCACTTGCAGTATTACTGAGACAAGTATCCACCATCTTAGAACTGTGCCTTTAGTTCCCCCCATGTGTAGAACTTTGCATTTACCCCTGTTAAATTTCATTCTGCTGTTCTCAGCCCAGTGCTCAAGCCTCTCAAGAGATTTTTGAATTCTGTTCCTGTCTTCCAAGGTATTAAGTTATTCCAGCCTAGTTTTGTGTCATCTGCAAATCTGATATGTATTTCCTGTACTCCCTCATCCAAGTCATTAATAAAATGTTGAAGAACACAGGGCCCTGGACTGAGCCTTGGTGTACCCCATTTGCTACCTTTTCCTAATTTGAAAAGGAGTCATTGATAAGAACTCTGAATATGATTCTGTAACCAATTACCTGAAGTCAAGATATATTATGTCTAAGCATTCCCACTGTCTACCAGGGAGGCTATCTGATCAAAAATGAAATACGATTAGTCCATCAAGATTTTTTTTCTTGACAAATCCATGTTGGCTTCTAGTTATTACGGCATTGTCTGTAATTCCCTGGTTTCTCTTTTTGCCCTTTTAAAATATTTAAATATTAAATATTGGGACGATGTTAGCTTTTCTCCAGTCATCTGGTACTTCATCCATCCTCCATGATTTCAAGGAAATAATAGACAACAGTTCTGCGATCTCTTCAGCCAATTCCTTCAATATCCTTGGATGCAGTTTACCCGGCCCTGGGGATTTGAACTCATTTAAAATAATATGGTACTCCTTGTCTGTTTGTTTATCAATCTCAAGCTGCAATCCAATCCCCTTTCTTTGACATTTACCTGGAGCAGTATAGACTGTACTTTGGGAGAAGACAGAGCTAAAGTAGGAATTGAGTATTTTTTTTTTTTGCCTTTTCTTTGTTGACTATTATAATTTTCCCATACCTTTTGAGTAGATGAGCCACTGCTTCTGTTCCCGGTCTTTCTGTCATGCATGTAACTGAAAAATGCTCTTTTTTGTTGCTTTTAGCATTTCTCTCTAACCTCACCTCATGGAAGGAAAGGGAATAATCTAGTCCACTCTCTTTTGTTTACTGAGATCAGGCAGTGTGACTGAAGATGTTAGAGGGCCTAAATGCTCAATTATATCATTTGGTCATGTTATCTGACACATTAAATAGCCAAAATCCTATCATGAAAAACCACACATGTACAAAATGTCACAGAAGCATTTGGCTGGCTGTTGTGCACCGAGTCACGTACCAGCTGCACAATCAGGGAAAGATCTGCTGCACAGAATAATAGAATAATGAGCTGGAAGGGGCCTTTAAGGTCATCAAATCCAACCTCCTGCTCAATACAGGAATACAAATCAAAGGATATCTGCCAGATGGTAGTCTAAATTTCTCTTGAATGGTTCCAGTGTTGGAGAACTCTCGACCTCTCAAGGTAACTGGTTCCATTGCCATATTACTCTAACAGTTAGGAAGTTTTTCCTGATATTCAACTGAAATCTGGCTTCCTGTAACTTGTGCCCATTATTGTGTGTCCTGAACTCTAGGATGATCAAGAACAGATCTTTCCCCCTCAGTCTTTTATTCTCAAGGTTATACATGCCCAGTGCTTCCAGTGTTTCCTCACAGGCTTGGTTTCCAGCCCCTAATCATCCTTGGTGTCTTCCTCTGAACTTGTTCCAATTTGTCAGCATCCTTCTTGAAATGCAGTGTGCAGAACTGGACAAAGTACTCAAGATTATACTAACCAGTGCTGAATACATTAGTGAATAGAGGGTACCTTGCAGGATTTGGGGACTATATTTCTTGTAATGCAGCCTAAAATAACATTTGCCTTTTTTGCAGCGACATCATACTGTTGGCTCAGATTCAGCTTGTGATCTATGACAATTTCAAGATCCTTCTCGCTCGTAGTATTACTGAGCCAGGTATCTCCCACCTTGCAACTGTATGCTTGGTTTCTTTTTCCTAGGTGCAGTATTTTGCATTTATCCCTGTTGAACTTCATTCTGTTGTTTTCAGTCCAGTCATTTTGAATTCTGTTTCTTTCTTCCAGAGTTATCAGCTATTCCACCCAATTTTGTGTAGTTTGCAAATCTGATTAAATTCCCTGAATGCTCTGATCCAGATCATTAATTAAAAAGTTGAAGAGTACTGGGCCCAGAACTGAGCCCTGGGGTACCCCACTTGCTACCTCCTCCCAGTTTGAGAAGGAGGCATTAATCATCACCCTTTGAGTATGATTCTATAGCCACATGTGCATAATGGACAATCTGGAAAATACCAGACTAGCAGTAGTGTAAGTTAAGAGGATTCAGGCCACAACGTTCACTCATTCAATTCAGGCTTCTTCTCTATGTGCAAAAGGTAGGCAACTAGGCAGCAGAGATCATAGGAAGGCTTGAAACGTCACTTACTGAAACAGACTGTTGGAAAAAGAAGGGTTAGGCCATGCCTTCCTAGCTGCAGTGGCAATCCATCCTACAGCAGCTGCTGTCAGTGAGGATTTAAAGGTGTGAACATTTGCATACTGGAGTGTCATACTTGTGAGCTCCTAGAAAGCTCCGATTTATTTATCAATACATAATTTGAAGCACTTTATGGCTAATGCACCCAAGATACCAGGACTGCTCTACAGAAACCTCTAACATTATATTTAGCTCAAAAGATGGTTAAAAACTACCACTATAGGGACTCCCAAAACTGGTGCTAGACCTCAAGGCTGCAGAGAAAACTGGAGCAAAAATATGCACAAAATGTAGTTCATCTTCTAGTTCTCCCACCACAACAAAAACAAAAGAGTATGAATGTGTTTATAGAAAGAGGAAGAGTATGAACGTGTTTATAGAAATTCATTTATTATATTCATATTTAAAGTAAATCACTGGGGATGGGCCTAGGGAGAAACCCTACCCAGAATCCTACTGGACTTCATATAAGATTTGCATAATTTGCCATGGGCGATCTGTAAGTAACTGGTAAGGTGCCTCAACACATCTTACTCACCTACCTGATCACAAGCCTGATTATGCAATAGAGATGCAACATGACACCTTGTACATTAGCCACAGCAAATTATGCAAATCATCTGCATGCACCAATGGGATTTCAGTCACTACATTGCTTATTGGGTTTTTTGTTTGTTTGTTTGTTTGTCATATGCAAGCACCAATGGGATTTCAGTAACTACGTTGCTTATTGGGTTTTTGTTTGTTTGTTTTATTTATTTAATTTATATGCTATATGTGGTCTCTGGTTAGATGGGCAGCATATAAATTAAATAAAATTAAATAGTGTGGCAAAGCCCATGTCTCGCCAGAAATATGTGTACCATTGGTTGAGAACCATTACAGTGCAGGAATACAAGGCAAATTAGATTTTTTTTAATTATAAGAAATAACACAATTTTCAAGATAGTCTTGTTACTGTGAGCAAAGTCTGTGGTCTTCCAGTCATGCTCTCCGGCAGAAGAAACAAGGTCAACTTTCAATGAACTAAGAAATGTGAGCATACAAATGGAATGTTGTTAAATATTTACTTCTTTCCTGGAAACACAGATGTCTAGTTCAGGCATTATAGTCTCAACATAAGAGGAGACAAACCCCGCTAGCCCTACTGTTGCCATTTCCATTTCCGCTGCTCTGCTCCTATGGAGAACAACTCCATGAACAGAAGAACCTCCTCTATTTGTGGAGGGTCTCTTAAGGAAAAAAAAAGAACAGAGGAGAATCAAGGAAGAAAGACAGAGAGCAAGGCTGGTGTAAAGGAATTAACTTTTCTTATAGAGGATATCAAGGAAGATGTAAAAATGAAATCTATTGCAATTGATCACCACTGCCAAAATTAGCAGTTGCTTCTCCTATAATTCACATGATAGAAGTCAACCAGCTTCTCTAAAATCTAAGGTTACCAATCAAGTTGGGGGTGTTTTTTGTTTGTTTGTTTTAGTATATATATATTGCAAAATCCAGTTGGTGCAAAGCTACACCCTCCAAAAAGCCAGATCATGTCCTCCACCGGCACCAGTATTGTTTAATTGAAACAAATTAAAATCTTCTTCTCCCCATTTCAGGTTGTAAGGCTCCCTTGGACTCCTTTTCACCCTAGGGAATCCTTTAAAAGTCCAAAATTGTCACTGGATCACCACACCCAGGATTGGGACTGCTGCTGACAATCCACCAGCGACGATTTCTGACTGTTAAAGGGTCCCCTCCATCCCAAGATTCTCAAAGACTTCCCTCAGGGCAAAAGGAAGCCCAAGGAAGCCTCAGAACTGAAACAGGGAGATGGGAAGTTTTCAATTTATTTAAATTAAACATTACCAATGCTGGATGATGACATCCTCTGGCTCTGTGACTTTCTGCTATCAGGATTGTGGCCATTATGCTGTAGCTGACAACATGCTTTTATAGCAGATATTAGTAGGAAACAAGTGACCTATTACAGTTCCATCTTCAAAATGTCAAATCCCAATACCTCTCTCTTTAAGTTAATTAGCGAACCATAAAGCTCTGTGAAGACCAAAGACAAACCTCACCCCTCAACCTTCCCTGCCAGCCCTCAATTAAGGTTCTTACCTTGTCGAGGAAGCACAGCTTCTCCCGGGTCTTGGCATCCAGGATCTCCACCTCAAAAAAAAGAACACCTCTTTTAGATTTCTTAGTAGAGGATTTTGATCCCATGTCATTGAAATTTCGTTGAATGGGTGGACACCCCTCTGCAGGCGTCAGACTCCCATCCATGCCTCTTCACACAGCAAATTCCCCAAGTGTGTGTACACAAGAGAACAAGGGGCACGATCCCACTTTGTTTCCTCGTATCTATGCCCTACATGTGGCCCACTCCTCGTCAGCTGAGGGGTGTGCTTCTCCAGAAGCAGCAAATTGTCCGGCTCTCGGAAAAAAAATAGTTCCTGTGAAGGCAGAGGCTCCAGGCTCGGCAGATCCAGAGCAGCACACAGAAGGGGTTCCTTTCTAGTCTGTTCGGCAGGTTGTGTTCCAAGGCGTAAGCTGATAGCACAGGGAGTGGAACTGCTACCGTTGTCAGCTAAATATAAAACTGAGCCCCAAGCAGACCTCCTCACAAGCAGCCTCTGAGCCAGGCAAACCATACCAGGGAATTTTTTTAAAGACATCTCTTTCCCTTCCCTACCCTGTCTCCCTCCCTATATCCCCCCCCTGCAAGTTCTTGTTAACATTTCATGAACCATCTGGGGGTGGGGTGCGGGAGTATTAGGAGATCCTCTCTGCAGTTACTCCAATGCAGAACAATTCTTAGGAACTGATTTGACCCTAATGCTCACAATTCCAGCAGCCTCATCTCTCAAAACTGAGGGGGCAAGAGTGCCAACTGCATTTGTGTAACACGAAAGGTTTATGGAGGGCACATTCTCAAAAATAACAATTCTTGCCAACAGGTTTGAAAGCTGTAGAGGAAGAACAAGAGGTGTGCTGTGTTAGTCCAGACCAGACTAGTGCAATACCTCTGAACATAGGGCTGCCCTTGAAGAATGCTTAGAAATTTCAAATGGTACAAAACATGCCACTATATGGGTGAACAAGTTACCTTACCAAAAAACAAAATTCTACACCAGCTTCCCCGCTGTCAAGTGCTGGCACTTACGTTTACCATCTTAATTGTCTGGGGCTTGTCACCTAATGGTATATCTTTACCTACATTAATTAACTTCACTTTTAATACCACTGTCTTACATTCTTTTTATTTTATTTTGTTTTACTTTAGTTTTTAAATTTCCAAAACAAATACAAGAATACAAAATACTTACTAATACAATCTAAAACACAGTGAAACCCCATACCCACGAGACCCTTTGGAGCAATACTTTATTACGAACCTCCTTTCCAAAATTGTATTGATTGTTGCTTAGAGGCTTTCCCCTTTCCTTTCACTAATACAAATTCAACAAATCTACCCCAAATAGCATAAAAATATTTAAACTTATTTACCCTCTTTTCATCTTAAGTTCAGTAGTCAATTTATCATTTAATACAATGTCCCATACTTCATTATACCAATCTTCTAATTTTTATCTTTCCAGAATCTAGGTATTAATATTCTAGCACTTGTCATAAAATTAGAAATCAATTTCTTTGAGCAATAATCAACTTCTATCTTATAAAAAATTGACAGCAAAGCAATTTTAGAATTAAGTTCGATATCTTTTCTAAATATATCACATATTTCCTTAAAAATCAATTTTCAAAATTTCTGAATCAATTTACATTCCCACCACATATGATAATATGAGCCAATTTCTTCATCACATTTCCAACAGGCCTTAGAATAGTCTGAATTTATTATGTTCAGTTTCATTGGAGCCAACCTTAAACTAATTTTTTAAAAATTTCCTTTATTACCAACATTAATCTTAAAATTCTCATCTTCCAAATTTTTGTCCAATCCTCTGTTTTAATTTCTGTCTTTAAATCATCTTCCCAAATTGATTTCAAACCTCATATTTCAATCTTTTTCCTCTTGTTCCAAAATTAGGTTATAAATTCTACTTACTACTCCCTTCCTCAAAGCATCTTTCTGCACGTCTTCATGTGATGATAGAATTTGTTCATACTTAGTACATTCTCTTTGAAGACTGGTTGAAGACTAATTTGCCATTAGTCTTCAACCATTCATTTGTCCAACTATTTAATTGGATATAATTATACCATGATAGTTTATTAGTTTGAAATTTAACTATACAGTAATCTGATCCTTCGATCTCATTTTAATCATCCAATTCTTCAATCTGGCAATTTTTTTTATCCTTAAACAAATCAGCTAAACCCTTCA